TGTATTAATTACAATAACAACATGATGATGTAGTATACGAAGTTTCATTTTAGATCATACATCAAATAAAAATAAAACAAAAAAAGATTTATATTTAATTCAATTTTTTATTGAACAGTCACATAATCAAAAATGCATTTCTAATCATTATCGAAAATATATTTTAAAATTAAACTTTATTATAAAATAAAACAAATTTAAATAACGAATAAATTATATATGTATAGATACATTTTAAAAATATATTTCAATTTTTATTATATTTTTAGAATTTTATATTATGCGTTAGAAAAATATGAGAGGTAAAATAAAAAATCCTTATAAAAAAAAATCATAAATTTGATATGAAATTGAGACAAGCCACTGAAAGATAAGCTTTGTCAATTTTATATTTAAAATACTACTATAATATATGATGAGTGAGATCTAAGTTGTTTTTTAAGAAGAAGAAGAAAAAAAGTCCGATATAAGTTGAGTTGCCGTATCCGAAAAGAAATTTGAGTTGCCATCCAGAAGACAAGAACTCAAACTCTCCCTTAGACCATGGTTATAATAGCTCTCCTAAAAAATATTTAACATTGCTTTGTTTTCAATAAATTTGAACTCAGAATGTTTTATTCAGCTGAAAGAAATTCTTAGAATCTCATCCAAACACACTTGAGTTTATTAGTGTTTTTAATATTTTTTAAGAAATAAAATATATCAACATTTTTTTAATAGAGATCATAGGAAAAATTAGAGGTCTAAATCAAAACTCTACTTGAAGAGATCAATTATATAATAAAACCAAAACTTGATTTTCAAAAAATAACATAAATGTAATTTTCTTTTTAAAATTGTTCAAAGAATAAAATGTTTTATCTTAATCAAGAATACAATCTTGAAAAGAAAAAAAAACTAATCTATGGGTATTACAAGAATGGTGTTTATCAAAAAAAGAGTGATGTAATTACCTAAATGAATACTTTGGTTGTTTCAATATGAAATTCATTTAAAGTATGTGAAAATGAAACTAAGAAAAATAAAACCAACTAACTTATTGATGACTTTGATTTATAATAATTGAAATTTAAAATATTTTTAAATGATAAATATCAATTTGTAAGAAGGACATTCCTTTTTAACTATTAATAATTAAATAATGTTTTTTATCTCAAAAAGAAAGTCTAGTCAGTGGAAAAATAGCACTACACATGAGAGAAGAAAATTTACAATAAATATATCAATTCTACATAAAAATTCAGATAGTTCATTTCATAGCAAAGTTCAACTAAAGATACAGAGCTCTACAATTATTCTTGTCTTAACCACAAGATGCATTACCGCGCCTATTAAATGACCGTAAAAGATTGCCACCACCACAGACCATTTTTGCAGATCAAATGGGTTACAAGTGACAGAAATATGGTTTACATTGCCATTTCCTCTGATCCTAATTATAGGAATGACAACTATAATAATATGTTTCACAGATGAACTTACATTACCTTACATTCCTCCTTGTTTGACTTTAGAATTCCATAATTGACCCTTGATTGTGTACTGCTCGTCCAGAGAAAAATATGTGATCTACTTTATTGTGATATATCGATTAGTACCATGTTTGGCCCAGTGGTCTTTAAGGTCAACTGGGTGTGAGAGATCATGTCCTTCAGCTGCAAGCCGGCTAAGCAATTTATTAAAAGCACTTCCACTCATTTTCCTACCGCCTACTCGTGCATGCCTTTTGTTGGGCACTGCTGGAAGTGGATACACCGATAAAGTGGTTGTACAACAAGCAGATTGCCAACCTCCATTACCCCATTTGTAGCACTGTCTCAGAACGCCGGTACAAGAGCACACTGGTGCTGGCATGGTTGAATCATCGTATGCAACTTGATTTAGTGCCAAGTCCTGGGGTTTCCAATCAGCCTTTGAGACCACTAACTGCTTGTTAAGATCATCACTTTCGTTTATAATTTCCTGACTATTCTTCCATTCAAGTGCTTTGTCATTGGCAAACATTGTCTTGTTTAAATCTTCACCCTCCTTTTTGACCTTTCTAGAAGTTTTTGGAGTCTTCTTGTTGGGTGAAACAGACTTGCTTTCCTTTGGTCGTTTGGCCCGCCTAGGTGGTTTCCCAACCTCTGAAGGAATGGGTGATTCTGGGAGGGCATTGGTTGTGGGCAATTCACGCGTGCCGTAAGAAGAATCCCCCATATTAGGTAAATGGTTTACCTGTTGCGGCAGATGGTGTATATGCTTAACTCCCCGTGAAATTTGACATCCTGGAGGGCATGAAGACATACGCCATTAGCCAAAGTGTTTTCTCGAAACTGAAGTGTTGCTATTGCATTATCTCTTTCCATAAGTGCATTATTTCGTTCCGCAATTGCATTATCCCGCTGCAGGAATGCTATGTCACGTTCTGCAAGTGCTGCCTTTTTCTCAGAAAGGGCCAGATTTCTTTCTTGAATGGCAGCATCTCGTTCAGCCATGATTGCCATAATCTGCTTCATGGAAGGATGCTGGTGCTGATGTTGTTGCATCAACCACTGCCGATAGCAATTTTGAGAATAATATTAGTAGAGAAAGCACCTTTGTTAGGGCTAATATGCAGCACTTTTAACAACTATTACGTTCATGCAAACTTCAATTTATTTTTATATACCTGTCCCTGAGCAGATTTATATTGATCTGCTTTGTGCCTTCCATTTTCACGATCATCCATCAGAATTAACAAATGGTAGTAGCTAAAGATTGACTATAAGCCTCCTAAGCCCACATCCAACTTGGCTAATAAAGCAATAATTTCCTAGAAGTCCTGAATATCAATTAAGGAACTAATCATATCTTTATATTGACTTAATTATAGAATCTCCTTCCTCCAGTATTTCTCGAGCCTTGGAGGGTGGAGAATTTTTTCTACCAATAACTCTTAACAAAGAATAGAGGTGGAAAAGGTTATAGTGCATACCATGCTTATACATAGAGACTACGAACTTGGTGACTGAATCAGAATCAACTCTTGAACAAGATTATCCCTGCAGAAAAGAGACAGAAAAATTATTTGAGCTGGTCTGAGATGAAACACAATGTTCCAAAATTGCAATTAATGCCAGTTACAATTAAAACTCAAATTTAAAAGCTCAATGACTAGCATTAATGAAAGAAAAAAAGGAAATAAATAGATAAGCACTACTGAAACAATGGCATTTTGAAAATGAGGTCAAATTACTAACTATCACCCTGAATCAATAACAATTTTATTCAAGCAAAAAGAGCACTTTCAAGAGTTACAAAAGAGACACAGTTAGTATCTTGATTATTTAGTACATTTATAAATTTGATTTCCAAACATCCATGCAAACAGTTTGTTCAAACAATAAGGAAGAGGTGAGAGATAAGGTATAAAAGTACACTAGAAAAATGGAGCAATTGTGCTAGCTAGATATCAGGATCCTTGTTTGATCTAAAAATGCTTAAGTGATAAGGATAGCACAGAAAGTACAAAAAAAAAAAAACATTGCATAAATGAGAAGATTAAACAACAATACAACTGACATTCCATTTAGTTCACGTCCAATTACACAGTACTTGAAGGTTACTTAAATCCTGCTACTACTTAAGCCATTGATAAGCAAAAGGGTTTCAACTTTCAAAATTCGTCGCAGGTCAATAAGTTAAAACCAGCGCAACACTCAGTCAACTACAGTTGACCTAGTCTTTGCAATTCGAAAATTTTACCCATAACAGAACTCATAACTATAAGATTCATCTGATATGAATCAAACAACAATTCTAAACAAACGCACACAAAAATTAGCTAACTAAAAGGAGCAAAAGAAGAACAAGGAGACTTAGTCAAGGTTTTGAACATGTGGTCTTTAACTCATTGGTCCAATTTCAAAGGGAAATCCAAAAGGCTAACCTAATAGATAATTGAAAATCCATAGCTAAAGTGGATAAAGCAAAAAATTGTTGTTGCATCTCTCTCTGTACTTTCAACCACAAAGTACGGAGGTCAACGAATTGAATTCGAAGCGTAAACACATTTCAGCTATATTCTCAATTTTAACAACAACAACAACAACAACAAAAACCCTCCGCGATCTCAACAACAGTCAAAACCCCAAAATTCGAAATCGACAAACAGAATCTCAAACCCCACATCTAAGGTACAAAACAGAACAATTCAAAGATAAACGATGCAGTTAGAAGAATAATTGCAGAAAATTGAAACTGCTAAAAATGCAAGCAAAAGAGAGAGAGAGGGAAAGATGATGAATAATCGAAGTGGAAAAAGAAGTTAGTGATAGATGAAGCTTACGAAGAAGAAGAGGGAAATTGAAAACCCTAATCTTCGGTGCAGAAGAATGAAAAATGAATTGGGTTTGGTAGTTGTTTTTAGCTATGCGTTTTCTTGTCTCGTTTCTCACTTGACAGAGCGTTGTTTGTGACGTATCTGTGTGTTTTTTTTACTCGCTTTTTATGTTAGGCATGAAAATAAAGTGATTTATTCCTCTAAAGTTAAACATCCATGTCTAACAATGGAATCGCACATGAGATTCGTGCGTGCTTAGTAACAGTATATTTTCACATTTAAATATAAATGTTTTTTCTTTTTAAAAATAAAACTCTATATTTATAAATAGAATGAAGGAAGAAGGAATTGTATAATAGGATACTACTATAGTTAATCCTATCTAACTAAAATAAAAAAGAGAACGAAAACAATATCTAAAAAGATTAAATAAAACAACAAATAAACTAAAAGAAATTAAGAACCATGGAATACTCATTGACGATAGTTAAACAAATTTAAGGGAAGAATTTCTCTCTTATAAAGAAAGGAAAATTATCTCACCATAAGAAGTCTATTAAATTATATATGTGATTCGCTAATTTGTCTCCACAAGTGTTTCTCTCAATTTATATGTCAAACTCACTCGAAAGTTCATATGGTTAAACCATATATTCTATAGATCTATAAAGATTAGATCTTTATTTTTCAAAACTAAATGGTGGTTTGATAGCCATTTTCTATCTAAACATTATGTCAGCCTATTGTGTTAGCTTGTTATATGACTAAGAAGATTGAGACCAACTTTATTATTTAAGACATTTAACTCATTCAAGTTCACATTAAATCCACCTTTATAGTCTTCATGTTGGTCACGGATTATTGTCACTCTCGAATTTTACTTACATGTATAAAACTTAGTTAGCACTGCACTTGGTTTAATTCAAATCACCATCGTAATTTTTGTGGCATTTTTGTATCTTTTGTCTATTTGCAGGTTATCTAATGTATGTGTTTCTTGCTTGCGATTGGCGATCAAACTCTTCAAGATCTAGGAGTTGAGTTTGGCGGAGGAATATGTGATGCTCAACGTCTCATAAATATTGATTTAGAGTTGAATCTTATTTTATTTCTTGTCATCCATGTTATATGGATTTAATGGATCATAGTCGCGATAATGCTACAATTGACCTTTGGGTGTCATCATAAATTGATGACGGTAATTATTCTTGAAATAAAGTTAGTAGGGTGGAGACTGTAAGCAACCTTATTACTTTCTTCCATATATGTATTACAAATATGCATTCGATGAATAAATGTAAGGTTGTTTCCTCATTTTTTGTTGCAGAGGTTAAGTATCGAGGCAAAGAAGGAGGTATGTAATCATGCCAAATATTTTCGACCAGTCTAAAATATGATTCTCCCCTGATATGTATATGGTTACATCTTTGGCAGTTAACAGGCCATTATTTGTATGCACTCGTACCAACTTATATGTTAGTTGTACTATTGGTAAGTGGATCTTTTGAACTTGTTGCATTATTCTAGTGAACTAGTCATATAGGAATTGTATAATAATCCAATTACCTCGTTCCACCAACTATGCAACTAGAGTCTTACAATCGTTTCTAGTATGCTCTCGAATATGAATAAGATCACTAAGCGATTGCCCTAACCAATTATCATTCCAATAATCTATGTTGTCTCATATGCCACAATGGTGGCAAGGGGTCCCCCACCTCACACCCCTTATATATGTGAATTGATTTCTCAATGACCATGATAGACATCCTAACTCATTCTAAAATATATTTGATCCACTTGCAAAATTTATTTGAGAACCCAAAGGTCTCAAGTATCGTCAAAAGGAAATTCTAATCCAGTGTAGCAAACACTTTGCTAATATATCTTCATAATAAAATTTCCTTCTTAACACTTTTTGTCAATCACACGTATGGCCTTTGAAGCAATTGTTATGTAGTTTTCTATGTGATGAACTTGTATAAACCCTATTTGGTTAAAGGATGTGATTTTGGCAACATGATAACCTATCTACCAAATTTTTTGTTATGATTTTGAATAAAAAATTGCCACAATAATTAATTTATAATCCTTCATTCCATTTGCACCATTTTATTTTAGGGATCAGAATGACGAGGTTGGCATTTAATTTTCCTGAATATTTCCTTGACTAAAGAAGTGTTGAATTACGTTTGTCCTTGTTATATCTAAGTCTGGTAAAAATGCACATTATAACCATCTGGCCTATAGACTTTATTAACGCTCATTTCGAAGACCTTATTTCTATTATCTTTAGGTGATTGGGTAGTGCATAGCCTCTCACTCTCCCTTCTTTTCACCATTCTTGACATTGATTCATCTATTATACTGTTAGGTGTAGTGTTATTTGTTGATTCAAAGATGTTGGTGAAATAATTAAGTATATGTTGATCAATAAGGTTAGCTTATGTAAGAATTCGATTTTATTATATTATCATTAAGGGTGTTCAAATCCAAACCAATCCAAATAAAAACTGCAATATAGATACAATGTCGTCATTAGTGTGTTAAAATGTGTTGGAATATTGTTGTTGTTGTGTGGAAAGTCAGTTATGATGTATTGGAGTTAAATTCAAATAAAGTTTTGTTTGTATCATGGTATGAATTAGGGAATTTTTAATGATGGATTATAACGGATTGTTGATTTGTTTTTGTTATATTGGTTTATGTTAAATTATAATAGTTATAAGATTTAAGTGTTATATAGTTTGGTTCTGATATCCCTTTGTTGGTTTTGTTTCAGGTAGGTGCATATGTAGAAGATATAGAGATAACAAGTTCATTTAGGATTCTTCATTGTTGTTGTTTGTAGAGAAGATAGTAGAGAAGGTAGCATCTCTAGAAGATAGTAATATCACTACGCCAAAAATAAGATTAGACAGCACACATAAGCCAACGCTTCTTATCAAAAGCGCTGCTAAAAGTGAATTTTAAAAACACGGAAATTTTGTCCCATGCCTTAGACAATGCTTTCTAGAAAAATGCTGCCTAAGGGGGGTGAATATTATTTGATAAAGCGCTGCTAAATGGGGTATGTCTTGAAGCGCTGTCTAAAGGGTGTGCTTAAAAACCGCTTTTCAGAAGCGTTGCCTAAAGGGTGGGCTTAAGCAGTGCTTTGTGAATGTGCTTCCTAAAGGGGGTTAATGTGAATTTATAAAGCGCTGCTAAAGGGGGTAGGCACTGTAGCGCTTTGCTAAAGTGTTGCCTAAAGGGGGGGATTAAGCAACGCTTTCTTAAAGTGCTGCCTAAAGAGGGGGATTAAGCAGCGCTTTATACTACAAGCGCTGCCTAAAGTCATGTTATAAAAAAAATAAAACATGTGCCCAGCATAAAACACAGTAAGACATTATTATTTGAAAAACCCATTT